GGTTATAAAATGGTTGACTCCTGTCTGTGTGCACATTCTGAAGTAAAGAAATTTATTTATTCTTGTCTTTGACATATGCTCTAAGGAAACAAGAGACTTCAGAGTTTTAAGGTGTCTGCAATATTTTAATTTGGATTGACACTTTCCTGTGTGCCTTTAATTTTATGAGAGTTCAGAACAATCCTCTTTGTCAAGTTGTACTTCCATATTAAGATTATTTTTTTTGTGTGTATATCTCTTTTTGTAGATGAGTTTTACCTCTCCTCACCATCCCTAATTTACATTATTGTACTAATTTACAGTGGGCTTTTTGATGACTTCTTTATATAACATCTACAAATATTTACTTAAAAATACAGAGATTATTTGGCACTTTATTGGGTCCTTTCATGGGTTCAATTTTGAGTGTTACCACACAGCTGATTAAACATGTCTGTATTTTCCTATCAGCCTGGTACAGCTTTAGTATGTGGTATGGGTCAGTATGGCTGCCTCTCTTCTTCCTTTGTTTAGGCAAGGGATCCTAACCATTCTACAATGAGTCAGTACTCATTGTTTGTTTATTAAATTTGGCAGAAGAAACAAGCAGTAGTAGAAGTGTAGGATATTTCAGCAGAAGGCAGCAAGTAGGGCAAAGGAGAGTTGTGTTGAAATCTGGAACATGCCAGCCTCTGTCTTTTTTACCTTCAGAAATCCAGCCTGTATTTGAGAATAGCATAGAGAAGGGAAGAGAGAATGTTTAAAAAGACTTGTCATTACTGAACTTCACATTCTCAAAATACAAACAGAGGTAGCAACAGGACTGTCTAGAATCTTAGACCAGTTAAGAAGATAAGTCTATGGGAAGAAAGAACAGGCAAAAGTTTTTTCCCTGAACAAATGTTCAGGCAAGACTTAAGAAATAGTTTTTGTGCTTGTCCATTTTAGTTGAGTAGTGCTGCTCTGCAAAATTACACCTGATCATTGCAAGTGAGGGAAAGTTAACGAGAAATAAGGTGTGTATATGCAAATAATGGAAATGAAAACTGGAAATTAAGTATTAGCCTTTCCAAGAGTCAGAATTGCTTTATTAAAACAGCATTATTTGAAAATGTAGGAGTTCTTAAGTTTGCTCAGTAAACGTATTCTTAAGCAAAATGTTGATTTGCATTATTAAATTTGCCTGGATTTGGCACAAAGGAAGTGGCTTAACAGATCTGCTTCTTTCACAGCAGATCACTTCTTGATTGTATTTTAGTATTCCCTAACACTATTTACATTATGCAAAGCCAGTTTAAAAATAAAATGTGAAAGACAATGAGTAGTCCTTCTTTTAGCTGTAGTTCTTTAACTTTATGGTAGTACTGCGAGTGTTCCAAGCACTGTCAAATACAGATCCCAACAAACTTCTAAGTTTTTTTGAATTGTGAGGCAGAAGAGAATATCTAACACCAGCTTTAGGACTTCAGTAAAATATATTCTTAGTGAAGTAGTCCAGGGTCTCCTGATTCACTGACCACTGGTGACTGGCAAAGTGATGAATCAAAACCAAACTGAGGAATGAGATGCATCAAACTTTCAGTCAGTGTGGCTCTGCTGCCTCATGTTTGTTTGGTTAGGGTGTATGTGCAGAACTTCTTTCTGCTGGTCTGAACAGTTTGGGAACCACTGAACTAAAATGTATCATTTAGAAAAACTTCTGAGCTTGATATAGGAAAGAATTCCCAGGGGGAAGAATTCATCTTACACAGCGGTATTTCCTCCAATGCTTAATTACCCTTTCTTTTAGATTGTGCTTATTGTTTCTGGTCTGAACTTGTCCAGCGTTTCAGACCCTGAATTTTGCAGTTCATTGGCTACCAACTTAACATTTAAATGTTCCCCATGTGGCTTATTTTGGAGACTGTGAACAAAACAAAGCCTTCAAGCTAAATAAAATTAAACAAGTTTGAATTGTTCACTATGAGGTGTTTCTTTAAATTATTTTTGTTACAGAAAAAAACTCTATTTTTCCAGCAGCCCGTAGAGCAATATCCTTCTTGAACTGATATGCCAAAATTCAATAGTATTTCATTAGTAGTTGTTGTATTATGAAGTTGAGGCAATGACTGTAGTTTATGGATTTTCTGAGTGTTACCATCATTTGACCGATGGTGTAGTGTATGCAAAATTAGGAAATTAGTATGTTATAAATACAAAGCAGTGTCTATACATTTATTACACAGGTCACTCTTACAAATCATAGAATCATAAAGTACCATCTTGGAAGGGGACCTCAAGGATTATCTGGTCCAAATGTTGCAAAATGTACTTTTCCTCATTGAACAGTCTTGTACAAATATTGATATGTTAAATTTATGTACATACTGTGATCTCTGATGTTTATGTCCTTGAAAATAGTTTGTAAAAAGTGATTCAGCTGTATTAACGCTGTATCCCCATGTTCCTTCAAAAATGACATCTCGATGGTTGTGCTTTTTTGGGAAGACATTGACAATTTGTATGACACTGCATTCATTGTAACCATGATAACACACTGGTGATGGTTGCCTGTAAATTGTTCTTGAGAGAGGAGGGAGAATTGCACAGAACTCCTGCTCAAAGGCTCTTCTAGTGTGAGAAGTGTTTGAAGGAAAATTTGAGTTTATCATGTCCTTGCAAAGGACAAATCACAATGATTGAAGAGCAGAGGCAAGAAGTATGGTACTGTTTCTGCAGCCAAACCCCGGGGGACTCACATACCCCTTCTTTCTGTGCAGTGTGCTGCAGTGATTTTGTTAATTGTGGCACATACTCTCAAGAATTATCTTGTAAATACCTCCTTTAAAATACCTCAGCTGTGTATCTGATGAAATGTGACTAACAGAAAAGTGTTCCTGGAATACATTTCCTTTTATCTATAAGGCTTTCAGCCATCTTCCTGTCTTTTCATTCTGGACTGAAGAATACAGTTATGTATTCTGTAAGTATGTAATTATGATGTCTTGGAAAGGCTCTAAAGGTCTTTAGGTTTCGCCAAGTTTGTAAGTGCTTTTAGACTTTCATAGTGCCTATTGTGCTAATAAAATCTCTGGAAAATAATTCGGTTCTGTAAAAAATATCAAGAGTCAACAATTTTGTAATGGCCTAGAAAGATGCTCAAATACTGTGTAATGGGCATGACAGTTACAGTATGTGAAATTTAATGCTCTAGCTCCTTATTGATCTTCCTTGTAGCCCATTGCTTGGCACATGCATTTGCACTTAACACCTGCTCTTTCTACATTAACACTGTCTTCAGCAGTGTTATCAAGGGGACTTTAGAAGTTGCATTTGATGCTAAATTTAAGTATTTAAGGAAATATCTATAGTTTTTCAAGTATTCATTTTCTTTTCACTTTACTTTCATCTGCTTTTTCTTTTGGGTGATATTTTAACACTTAAGGGTTTTTTTCCCCTTTTTTAAAGTATTCTTGTTACACAATGGTTGCTTCTGACATTACCTGTTAATATATATATAGCCCAGAAATCCTGCAAGGCTTGTTATTTTCTGGAAATGAGGAAAAGCTGTAAGAAAATTAATTGTATCTTTGATCTTGCTGGTGATTCTGAAAAAGTGTATTACTGTGACCTGCCTGTGTTTGTGTTTGAAAGTTCTTTGTCCCTCTATATCTACAGAACTTAAAAGCCTGTTGCAAAGGTTCTGAATCTGCATTTTTAAGCTGCATCAGCCCTTGGGTTTCATTCTGGAGGTCCTTGTTCCATTCTGTGGTTGTTGGTCAGTGTGTTTGCTCTTACATTGATTAGATATTGGACCCCAGTGAAATTTGTACAATTCCATGTTGCAGATTTGCAATACTTTCCATAACAACGCAGTGATTCTTAATGTTTCTTTCTGTTTCCTTGGGTTATTCAAGGAGAAAAAGCACCATGTCAGTATTATTTTCCATTCCTAAGCACAATGTGCATCTCCTAAGGCTACACAGCTCTACTGCCCTGCATCCTAGTGAGGGACTCCATAGAAGTTAAGCAGCATCAGTATCTTCATGTTATTAGAACCTGAGAGGTCTACAGACCAAATGTATACACCAAATGTATCCTTGTTTCAATATTAACTCTTGTTTTAATTTAGATTTTTATTTTATCTGCTTTTATTCTTTATTGAGTCTTTTCTCTGTCAAAGATTGGTGCTTAGTATTTCACAGCTGGTCAAAACCACTTGTTTTCTTGGCGACTGGATGTGTATTTTTGCTACATGATGCAGAATCAGTTATTGGTGACAGTCACCAAGGTTTCTGTCTGCTGATTCTTTGGAATTGAGCTGCTTAAGAACTGCTCAAGTGAGAAATTTAGTTTCTCAGCAGCTATTGACTCTTTTTAAGAAACTTTGCAAAAAATGGCATGCAGAAATGCCCCAGTGTCTTTATCTATTCACTGTGAATCACAACCATGTTGCACTAAAAGTATCCACTGTTCTAACTGTTTTCTTAAGTACATGTATGATTTTGTGTCTGTATGTATAAGAAGAAACTAAGAACTGGAGATCTGATTGAAGCTTGATCATTTTCAAACAAAGTCTGAATGTTCTTACTTCTCACCTAATACATACAGCCGACCCATTTACCAGCTGGTACTTGCTGGAAGAGGATGCACAAGTGATAAGGAACAAGAAATGGATGATGGTATCAAGATGCTTGAAGTGATGGTAGAGGGATCAGAAGTTTATTGACAATTATGCTGAGGAGGCTTAGGGACATTTTGTCAGTCCAAAGTGTCAGTGTTTGAACTATTTATCGCTTCAAAGTTTTCTTATGATTACTTAAGGTGCTAATCCATGTGTGACAAATATACACTCAGCTAGGTAAGGAAATTGCCAGTTCTGTTCCATTAACAATCACTGGCCAAAGGAACAATGTTCCTGTAGGTTAAAACAACAATTAAGGGGCCTTAACACGTCAAGGTGAGGAGAGAGGGGATACTGGCAGCAGACATTTTTCACACATTGCTAAGCTGCTTCAATGCATAAATTAACTCTTAGTTCAGTTACATCGGTTGAGTGTGCTGTGCATGTGCATGACTGGTCTGTGTGAACCAAAATCCGGCCCTGTTGATTTATGAGAAAGGGTAAGAGAGGTTGAAATCAGTAAGCAAAGCCAAACAGTACATTTTCAGCAAAGAATATCAAATAGACTCTCAGACAGCTCCTCAGTTAAAGATGCTGGTTGTTAGACCTGAGGTCTTTGCATGGCAGTAGGTTGTTCATTACGTAATTTTTTTTGTGCCCTGATCACTTGAGCTGCACTTTGCTACTTTTGTAACTGGACATTTTTTCAGTGGGAGAACAGGTTTCACTGTGATCATATTAAATAACAAGCATACTTTATTGTAGTATAATTAGTAAGTATGGGGACATGAAATATTGTTAAGAGAGTTAATAGATAACTTTAATGTGAGTGTATATAGAATAATAATAATGCACATTTTTGCCCTTAATATGAAAATGTTTTTGACATACAGTAGGGTGTGGAGAGGGCATCTTATAGTAAACAAAGTGTGGTACAGTATGATCATGTGTCTACCAGTATTTTTGGCAGTCTGAATTATAGAAAGAATGTAGCAAGACAAGGCTTTTGGTAAGTCTTGAGTGTAATGAAGGGTAAGCTGGAAATATAACTTTTTCATGTCAGTAAATGGTACTGTAAAATTGGCCAGTTCCTTAAGATCTTTTTGATGAGTGGAGTTTACAGAAATAATTTGAAGAAAAAAAAATTCTGAAATCTAATATATGTGATAATGGAGAAATAAAAGCTGTAATGGTGCATTTAGAATATATTTTTTATTACTCTAGGTTCATTTCTGACATAACTTGTTTTAGTGAGCCACTTGAATGATCTTGGTAGCTATGAAGTTTTAATAGCTAACACTTGGAAAACCTTGTAGTTTAAACAAATATTAACTTCAAAATCACATTCCTTCCTTAAGAAACTATCCCAATTTTATTTTATTAAAAAAGAAACAAAAAAACCCAACATGTGAGAGACTATTAGGAGGTAAAGTTGTGGAAGTTCCTGTAAAGTGGTGACTTTTTTCTAGATGGGATTTTACTATTGTACCACAAAATTTTTGCTATATAAAGTATTTAATCTTCCTCCTTTATAAAGCTGTTGAGCTCTCACTTCAGAGCACTAGTCCTTTGCTTCATGCAGGACTTGAAAGAAATCCATGTTTTATTATAGTTGATTAAAAGAAAAAAGAATGAAAGTGAAACACAGGCTCTAATGTTCATTCTTATCTGGGGAAACAAGCTAATAGAAAGGAGAGATTTTTGGAAAACCTAAGGTCTGTATCTGTACTTGTGTTTCAGATCTTTCTTTCATGACAATAAGCATTCTCAGAGTGCCTTTCTACACCTGATAACCTTTTGGAAAACAAAAGACTGTTGGGAAAAACAGTACTGGAGATGGAGATGATAATTTCTTATGCTTTGAATAGAGGCTCTTTGTTTTTTAGGATCTACCCCAGAAATTTCTGCAAACACTGAGTTGCGTTAAAAACAAAAAGAAAAAAATTGAAGTTTTACTAGTTTTGGTCCCAGGTCAGTATTCTCAAAAGTGTAAAAACTGCAGCAGGGGGTTAGCAAAACTTTTTAAGATGAAAAAATAGCCAATGTTTTAAGAACTTCTGATGAAAGGAGTTGAGGCAGAGGAGCTGTTTTAGGCTGGGAGTGAAGATGATGTTCCAGAGCTGCTCTGCCTTCCTTTTGCAGCCTCACCTCCAGCAGTGTGTTGTTCCCTCCTGTAGCCCCAGTGAGATTATTTGTCAGATCTAGACATGAGATAGGTAAAATTCAACCTGGATAAAATGTTCAGCTTTCTTTTAGCTCTCTTTGCTGAAAGGTTGCTGAGGGTGCAGGGGAGTAAAAATGAAGAACATTTTCAATCTAACTTTATGGAAATAATACAGAAATCATTGATGTGATGAAATTAAGGGAAAAATAGGTGGAACTGTGACATGAGTCAGAAAATCCAGTTATTTTGCAGGGAAGAGTGTGTATGATTATATAGAATTTTTTTACTGGTTGTGCTGTTTTCTCTGCATAAATATCTAAAAATAGTAAGTTACAACACAGATATTTTGGGTTTGTTTGAATTGCCTTCTTTATATGGCATGATTCATCTTTTGCTTTATTCTACATAGTGCTGATTGTAAGGTGTAAATAAGTAATCAGTGACTGAAAAAAAAGTTACTTGCATCCCCTCTGAGGTTGGGAATATGTCTGTTAGAAGTTTCAAAAGACCATCTTTTCTGGAAAAAAAAAATCGTTTTTAGGGAATAATGAAATGGACTTTTCCAGAATAGTGAGATACAGTCATATTTTTTGGAAGGCTAGTTTGAATATAATATTTATTTTAACTGCTTATCAGACTGCATTCTTATTGTATAGCTCAGAACTAACATCTTTAAATGTTTCATAGCCACTGCTGTATCTCTCCATGTGTCTTTTGTGACTGACTTTTTACACCTATATGAGATGCTGCTCCAGGCCCAGAGATATTACTTGGTATAGTGAAGCTGACATTTTCCCAAAATTCAGGAGAAATTCAGGGCAGCAAACTGGGTTATCTTTTTAGAGGTGACTGCTACTTGCATGGGCTTAAGTCTCCCTTGTGTTAACAACAGCAGTTTCTTCAATGAATTCTTCACTGCGTTTTATGCCAAGTTCTGGGGGAGGAAAAACCACACTTTTGCTTAATGTTTTCAGTGTTTTTATGTGTTAGAAATTGTTGTGACATTGCAGCCTTGAATTTGTTGTCAGAACTAATTTCATTAATGTTTGTGTGATTTCAATAAATTTAGTTTTTGTATTATATTGTTTCACCCAAGACATAGATCCATAAATTGGAAAATAGGTATTGTCTTTTGACTTGTTTGATGAGGAAACTAAGTGAGAATTTTATGTTGGAAACACTAAAGTCTTCTTAAGCCTTTATAGCCTAGGTATTGAACTTCTGTCTTACAATTAAGAGAGAAATGAACCCTTTTGAGAATGGTATTGACACCCTGCAGGGAAAAATGTCAGCTGCAAAAGTTTTTACACTGTCATGCTTCTTGGTCAGAAAATGTCATTAAGTCCCATCTTTTCCTTATGCCACTTAATTTAAAAATAACAAACCATGTATCTGTAATGTAACTGCATTTTGGCCTGTGACTTTGATGTGTCTGAGCTGTGTATCTGTTATTTCTGCTCTGTAACATACAATGTGTCACTTCTATTGCCGTGAAAAAACTTTGGAAAAAAAATTTGTAGTGATTGAGACATTCCAATTATTAATATTCCACTTGATGAATTTCACAATCAATCATCTCATTAATAGGCCTGTCTATGACTAATAAATGAGCAGAGTCTGTCAAGATCTTCAAGAAGTTCATTGCACGCTCTAAAATTGGGCATTAGTGCTTTTGATCTTCATTGCAGTTATCAGTTAGGTATAATAGCTCGAGTAATACTCATAGCAGCCTACAAAATTTGTGGAGGTTTACTCCTCTTTGAAGGCCAGAGTTAACAAAGTTTCTGAAACAGTGCACAATGCATGATGACATTATAGGGATGGTGCACATAAGATGGTTTTTCATGTATTGGCATCACTGATGTATATATAAAAATCACATTGTTTTTTGAAGTGTAAGAAACATAATCATGATACCTGAATAAACTGCTACACTGTTAATAATTTTTTTAAAATTTAAAAATCAGATTTAGAAAAATTGTTTTTAAGATGCCTGATACCTTCAAGTAAAAGCAATTTTTAAACTTTTATTTAGGATTTATGTGTTTGAAGAGCCAATAAACAGTGCTTATGTAACAGTACTTAGATTTACACATCAGCCAGCTGGTATAGCCAGATCTTCAGGTTTTCTTTTTTCTTTTTTTTTTTTTTTTTTTTTTTTTTTTTACTTTTTGGAGGTATTTGTGAGCAGCTTGATGTTTTTGACATCCGTGTGACAGCTTCTTGCATAAGAGATGAGCAGCATGTTATACCACCCAGCTGTGTGTATTAGTCTGCACATCAAGCTGAAGAGCGGCACTTAGCCAGATCTGACAATCAAATGTGAACTAGTACTACCTATACACAGGAGTGCATTTTAATGTTGTGTGCTTTTTGCCAAGAGGCTGGTACTTGACAAAGAAATTGTCAGAATCTCTCTTCTTCCCACCTTTTTTTTTTTTCCCTTCCCACAGATGTGAGTCCATGTTGAAATATATTTTTTTTTCCCCTGCAGTTTAATGTGGTTGATCTTACAGGTAATAAAGCCAATCTAATGTTTTCAGTGATTCCATGTAATAAAATTCTGGCAAGCTTTTAGTGCTAGACAAGTGTAACTGTTTTAGGATATGCAGCAAATCAGCATGTCATTCTCTGCCAACTTAATCCAGTGGCTTCATGGCCATAACATGCCAGCAGCCTGTCCCCAAAGAAAACTGGGGACGTAGAGAAATTACAGTGCCAGTTCAGAAATGTCAGTGCTGTTCTTGGGCTCATTAAGAGTCGGTGCTCAGCACATTGTGAGCGTGGAGATGAGTAAGTGAGAGACACCTGCTCTTATTGTAGTTGGACTGATCTGTAAACCTCCAAAACCTGTACACTTCCTCATGATTTTAAACCTCTGTCATCTTCCTTAATGCTTAAATTTGAATAAATGGAATTAATTGTCACAGAATGCACAGTTATACTCTTAATAGTTCAACTTTCCTTGTTTATGTGTTTACTGTAAGCCAGGAGTTAGTTACTACAGGCAATATTGTTTTCTTCCTTTTTTAAATAAGATTGCCACAATAGAGAGGATTGTTTTAACTTATTTATGCAACCCAAAATGATGATGAAGAGGGAAATGTAGAAGAAAAAGGATTTTTTTATTTAACAGTTAATCCTCTTGTCTATGGAGTACTCCATTTGCAGTAACATTTAGGTGATGAAATATGTAGTTTCCATATAACTTGGCTTCATTAAAGCATTAGCAATACCTTTTTTATCTTATTCTGTGTTTCCCTTTGTATTACACCCTTACCATTCTTGTAAAAACTGTATTCCATTTCCATCTGGTCTTGCTCTTACAACAAATAAGTAAGAAATTCATGTCCAGTTATAAAGTGGGCACAGTTTTGAAGAACATTAGGCTGACATGGATTTTGATCAGCGTAATAAGGGCTTATTATCTAAAAAAGAATTTAGGAGTAAAAGTTCTCCTGTGCTGAGAAACAACCTAACTTGAATTACTGCTTTGTAAGTAGAGAAGTTCCACTGATTTTTTTTTTATCCGTTTTTCCTTATTTAATTTTCCAGAATTGATGGTAAGAAGAGAAATAATTGCACCAGTTTTTGTCATTTTAATGCAACTAATTTTATACCTCTCTGTTTATATCTTGGTTTTTGTCTAATTTTCTTTTTCAATTTTACCCCTCCAAAACAGAAGAAAAGGCTTCTTGAAGAACTTGGAGAGAACAGACTTCCATATATGACTCCAGCCGATGATGATTTCCATCAGTTGGTAATGTATTTCTTCTAACTTGTTTTAAACTAAAATGACTTTTTGGACCGAACAACAAATAAATCTTTCTTCAAAGACACACTGTGAAATCTGATATGAAAAAAGGTGTCCTGATGGCTGATAATGGACTTCCAGGTGGTGTGAAATAAGATCTCTAGAACTGAGATATTCATGAATGAGAACTTGGTGAACTTAGTTTATTTTTAGGGGTGTGCCCTGAGTTCCAGGTAACGTGTAACAATCAGAGTTTCTCATGCTTTGTTGAAATAAAACACATCTCATCATTCCTTTAATTTTTTTTTATCTGAGCTGTGAAGAGACCTGTTCTTTATAGCTTGTGTTTGGCAGAAGAGGGAGAATATTAACATAGAAATTCAAATTTTTGGGCCCTTAATTTTACTTTCAAACAATAAGTAACCATTGAGACATTGCTTAAAAAACAAACTGTGGAAACAGGAATACCTCAAATGAAACCAAACAAAAGTAGGATCAGGCCCAGTAGACACATGAGTAGTAAACCAAATGATTGTGTGGAAAAATATGATGAATTAATAGAATTTTCTGCATCTGTCTTGCATCTTTCTATATCAGCTATAAAACACAGGGTAGGTTCAATCAGATCAAATTGGATCACTGTAAGATAAAAAGTATAAGAAATAGTCTCGTAGTTTGAACAGCTACAGCAAGGATGCTTACATTACAGGTGTGTTATCTGTCTTCTATATATTGATATATGGCTCAAAGATGTAGAAGTGTGGAAGAGCTGGAAAAATTTATAAGAGCTAAACAGATGGATTTTATTATTTTTTTTATTTACAAAAAACCCAAACACATTCTTTTTAGTCTTAAACTAAAGTTCATGAAGAAATTCTTCCCCTTTTAAGACATAGGGAGCTGATTTTTCTCCTTCCTTGTCCTGTTACATCCCCTCCTGTTCTCTTTTTCTGTCTCTGTTACTGGCAAGAGCTGCTTTGCCCAGCATCTTTTTCTTTTCCTATCTTTGTAAATCCACATTCTCATGGAGCTGATGTGAAAGGAGAAGGTGGAGCCAAGATTGCCCAGGTGGCATCTCATTTGCTCAGTATCAGTAACCTATAAATATAGAAGACAGTGGGAACAAGATAAGCAGTGAAATCAGACCTGTTCAAGCCTTAATAAAGTTTAGATACACTCTTTCTGCAAATATAGAATTATAGTTTTTATGTAGTATATGTGTGCATGCTAGGTATTTTTAAGTGTACATGATAATCTTAAGCATCACAAGCACCTTTTAAATTCTGTGGTGGTTATGAAATGTTACTTGAATCACAGCTGTAGAAATTACAAATTCCATGACGCTTAAATGCACTACAGATGGGAGGAAAAGAAGGGTGAGAGCTTGAAGACAACAAATAGCGAAGTAAAATATCACATACACTTTAGTTTTACAGTCTGTCTTTCCTGGACAGACCTGCCTTACTCCTTTAAGGATCCACCTCAGATAAAGCAGCATTCTTTGAACATGTTGGAAAGGTTAGGTAGGCTGCAAGTAGAAAAACTGCCATATCCTGTCAGATGTGGAAGCGCACAGCCTGAACAGAAGTAAGAAATTCCATCATAAGCAAAACTTCACTGACATCCTCTTTCAATGTGTCTTGCTTGATGAAGGATTTTAGAAATGGGCCCCAAGCCATAGGCTGAAAAAATGTGATGTTTAGCGCCAGTTTGGAATAAGAAAAAAGGCTTTTAACAAAGTAATTCACAAATATTTGAAGTACAAACTATCATTTTATGATGTATATGTTAGTTTTCTTATCAAGGGTCCTTATTGCTGATTTCTAACTTTATTGTGTCAGTTGTGTCCATAGGGTGGATCTGTGTGTTGAGTATCACCATCAGAAGGGAAAGCATCTATATATTTAAAATCCTGTGTGTAACGTTAAATGCAGGTTTGACCATCAAATGTGCTTTTTTATTTTTTTTGTCCTGTAGTTGCCAGCAATGTACCTACTTCTTTCAGAGTGAACAGTGAATTGACCTTTAATACTTGCTGTCAGAGTTACAACACAGAGGACACAATTACTCCCCCTTCCCCATCCCCCCGAAACAACAAGGTGTCCTGTGTGAACCCAGCATTCACCCTGGATCTGATCCCTTAATGTTTTCCTTATGTGGGGCACAGCACAGTCACTGGTTGGAGATTTAAAGAAGACCAAACTGTTTTCATGTGATGTGTCGGAAATGTGTTTCCACTTCCTGCTTTCTTTGGAGATATCAGTGTGGTTTTTTTCTTTTTAAGGTAGAATTCGAAGTGTACAGTGTGAAACTTCATGATAAAGTAGTTCTTAATCGTGTGATCTTAAAACAGAATCCAAAGGTAACGTGCCTCTGACTTGGCTGGCAACAAAATGTGCAAGGCATTACCTCTGCAGTTCAGGGGGGGAATACGATGTTGTTACCTTTGTAAAATCTGTGTGTTTCCTTTCTAGTGCGTGTTTTCAGGCACTTAATTGCTTTACATCATATTCTTATTTTCCTCCTTCTGTTTCTAATAGTTGTTTGTAATTTCATGGGTGCAATTCATGTCAGAAATTCAGTCTCTTTGTATCTTTGTATAAATGGTTTAAAAATACGTAGTATTAATGACTGTTTAAATATACCACAGTAGCATATGTTATGTGGTAACTGGTTAATCTGAATATGTCCAGTGTACAGAATTATTTAAAGAAATACTGGAATACTGTTATAGAACTGTTAGTGCTCTTTCTTTTATACATGGCATTTGCATAATGAAAGAAATAATGCAGTAATAACCTTTGTATGTCACAACATATGATGTTCTGACATAATTAAGTATGATTGTGAAAAGGTATTTATGATTCCCATCAACCTGTACCCACCCATCTAACTGCAGCCTATAAGTGTAGGTCTGAAATGTAGTTACTGATTTCAGTTGTTGTTTATAAGGATTTTTTCACTGTACTGTTCAAAGGCTGGAGAATACACAGCACTGATTGAAACAAAAGGGACAGTTCAGGACCTCTAAAGGAATCATTTTGAGCTTTTGACAAGCTCGGGTGAATTGCTTTTATCAAGTTTTGATAAAACTTTATCAAGTTCTTTGAATGAAAGCTGGGATCCAGTGTTCTGTGCTGGGGATTGTAGAGGGACCTTCAGACAGATATCTGGATCTGTTTTCAAGCTTTATATTTGAAGTTAAGGATGTAAATACAATTGTCAGAAATTATTATTATCTGTAGATACTGTTAGAGGTTTTTTCCCTCTCTGCAGGAGGCTAGTTTTTGTAAATTGTAAGAATGTGTAAAGAAGGGGAGTTAGCTTCACTGTAAAAATTTCACAAGAAATGGTGAGAAGGGTTACAGACAAACTAAGATTTATTATGTGTAATCATTATTTTTAAAATAGGCTTCCTTTTATGTTCCTCTTTTTAGTAGAAACAAATGATTCTATAAAGCCAACTCCTCAGAGTTGTAGGATAACAGTGTGTTATGATGCAGAACTGTAACTGTTTTCATGCAGCAGAAAATGTGCATACTGACTTACTGCCTGCCTTGTGTTTTTTAAAGGCATGTTCTTTGGATTTTAAAATTAATTTCCTGAAAGGAAAGTCTTAAATGAGACTTGGAAGTAGATAGTACTAGTAAAGTAATTTTGAGTTGTACCAGAAGGAACCCACAGATGGACTATAGGTCAGTGTGGTGCTTTGTGCTGGTGACTTTTATTTGTATTTTTTAAAGCACTTTGAATGTAAGATATTAGGTTAGTAAAAGTTTTGATAGATCAGTTTAGTGCATCCACGTGCTCTTACCCCATTGCCTAATGCCTTCAGATTTCAGTTTACTTTAACATTTTTCCCCACACCACCATTGGTATCTGCCTTTTCCCCAGTCTAGTGACCAATTTCTGGACAGGAGATAGATGTGGTGGAGTTCTTTGGAGCATCACACTTGCTAATTGATACTTGATATGCTCACATTGCAGCCTTTCCCTTACTAAAGGCACTAGTTTGCATCTATTTCTTTTATTTATCTATTAATTTTAATGGAATACATAAGAACTCTTTTTAAGAATTTATTCTCTCTAGCCTTTGTCCAGTTTGCCAAACAGTCTCAGCAGTAGTTAAAGCAGATTTACAGGCAGCCAATAAAAGGTGTGATTATGTGATACTCGCTTCCTTAGAAAACCAGATTAACAAAATAAAATTATCCAAGCCTTCCTGGAGTGGGAAGCAGTATTGTGCATGCAAAGCAAGACGCTGCTGATTAGCAGTGTTATACCTTGCTGGGAGTTGTTGCCTCCACACGCTGCTGGATTCTGAACTCCAGCTGATACCAGAGCTGGTATGGTCAGAAGAGGATATGAGGAAAAAGGATATTACAGGTAGGGAGCTGGGGAGGAAAATAAGTTTGGAAATTTTATGCTATCTAAAAGGAGAACTTTTATATAAAACAGGAGAGCTAATTGGCATGCACTGAGGAATGTGAAAACAGAAAGGACCAGTGTGTAGAGGACTGTTTTGAAGTTAGACATGCAGTGCATTTTTTAAAAATTTACATTTTCATTTTTTTACGTTTTCCCTGGGAAGTGTTGTTATATCAAATGGTTTGAGTTTATCACGTAGACCTCTAGAATTCTGTGCATCAGAATGAAACAAAATGGTTTTTGCAACCATTGCAAAAAGAAGAGTTGCTTTTTCACTGCTTGGTAACCTGTTGTTTGTATATGTAAAGGCAGCATTATCTACAGGTTCATCAGATGAACTTATATGTTCTACTGATTTCTGCCAGAATACTCTGATTGATTGATTGATACTCTCTGGTTACAGGCCACTGGTACATATCCACAGTGTGTGCAATATATTGATATATGGAAATAAAGTAACAAATACTGACATCTGTTTCTTCATTATATTCTAGACTCATGCTCGATAACTTGACAGTTTAGCCTTGTCTCTTCTTCAATATATGAAATATTTTGATTCTTGTAAAAAGAATAATTATTTTGCTATTTCTGTTGTTTGGTGTTTTTGTCTTTTTCTTCTTTAGTGGAAGACCAAATATTCCAAGCTGATTTTCAGAAAATCTGAGACAGTACCTGAAGAGCTCCATCAAATGGTACAAAAAGGCTTTCTGACCTTGCGAGAACACGATTGTTTCTTTCAAGATCTTGTAAGGATCAAAGGAAAAGATTTCCTTACTCCAGTGTCTCGTATATTAATTGGAAACCCAGGATGCACTTACAAGTACTTGAACACAAGATTGTTTACAGTTCCTTGGCCTACTGAAGGTTATGATATAAAATATTGCAGTCCTCAGATACATGATGCTTGTAAAGCATTAATCAGACTTAATGACTACTTGCATATTGAAGCAGTCAAGACATTACAAGGACAAAATTTATGTGAGACCAAAGAAATTACAGATACTACTGTAATAGATAGGGAGCAAAGTTTTGCTACTTCTCTTACGGAGCGAGGGTCTGTTTCAAAAGATCAAAGCAGTGTTTGTGTTCCAGAGGATGACTCCATAAGCCTGAAGAACAGAACATCTTATAACCTGACTTTATTAAATTATATGGATCCACTGCAAATGCTGTACTTGAAACAAGAACCTTATTTTGGAATGGGGAACATGGCAGTGAGCTGGCACCACGACGAGAATCTGGTTGAAAGGTCGACGGTTGCTGTGTACAGTTACAGCTGTGAAGGTGGGTGATGGGAGCTGACCAGTCATATAATTATCTTAAATCCCTGGACCCCTTTTCTCTTTCCCTGTGTATATGTGCATAAGCACACCTGCATGCCAGTCTAGGCTTGTCATGTGCTTCTGAATGCGTTGTGGTACCTTTTGTGTTTAAGCCTTATCTTTATTTTTACTAAAACCTCTACAAAACATACCTGTGTTTACTGGCTTAGCAGTTGTTCTCTAAGTAGCTTTAAAAATTGGTGTAATTAACTTCCTGACTAAGAGCCAGGAAATCAAAATCTGTCAAATTCCTTTTTCAGGTTAGTGCATGAGCATGTTTTCTGTCCTGTAAAATGTTTCACTGTAGTTGAGATCACCATTTTTATGGTGTTATTTGTCATATACAGACTTGCTTCTACTTTATGCTGTTTTTACTACTCTTCTTTCTTTGGAAAGATCATTTTCAGTTGGTTTTGGATAGAAGTATTACTATATTTATTTTTGAAGTTATACATTTTGTCTAGGCATGCTGTAGTGTTAATGCATGTTTTATGGGACTTGCCAACATTTCTGTAGTTGGGAAGGGTGGACATTTTCTGTTAAAAGAACTGTTATCTGACAGGCTTTGGATTTCTTTCAATGACTCCCAGTTTTGCAGGGCATAAGATTAGAATTTAGACACTTGATTTGAAATTGCAAATGCTCCGTTATGTTTCATTACTCACAATGGATTTTTTATTATTCCAAAAATCCTTTGATGTTTGCCTTAGAACATGGGAAGAATTCACGTTGACTTCGGTAGGTTTTGGCTAAAGGCTTTGATGTAAAAATGATAGTTTATACTTTCATGTGCATTCTCTTATTGGTTTTGTTATTAGTTTTGAAACTATGGGTCACTTTGTTACTTAATGTACAGCTGAAGTCATATTATTTACTTTTTCCTGGACATAAAACATCAACTGGCGTAGCAAACTGAATAAAAGAGATTTCCTGACAAGTAAAAGTGTAATTTTCTTCATAAACTTTTTTCTACCCTGTTTGTCAAAGGCATTGGTATTTTATGTCCAGTAAATACATTGTTTTTTTCCCAGTAAGACTGTAGATAAATATTTTTGCAGTAAGATTTTAAGTTAAAGAAACTTAATAATACTGTGTGTGAAGATTTATTGTAATATGCTTAAAAACATTTTACTTTAACATAAAATTTGCTTATGGAGGGGAAAAAAGTGAGTCCCTTTAAGTTAAGAGAGCTATAAATCAACAAATATGAAAGCTGCTATGTTTATCCATAACTCGTCAGTTGATTTTGTTTCTTTTATTCAGCAAGTTAAATAGGTAAAAATTATGGTGTTTTAAAACCACTGTAAATTCTGTGGAAGATTTGATTGATGGGGGTATAAAGACATATTTTATACATTTAGACTAAAAATTATTTTGATATCTATGCACAGTTAATGTTTTTGCCACATACAAGATTTTTTCATAAATATACTTACATTTAAAAGTTTGTAATTTTTTTCTGGAGGGTTTGAAAATAGACATGAAAACAAAGAAACTAAGATCTTTCCAGTGAATAAATTGATTTAGATTTACAAAAAAAATATTAAAAAAATTACAACTTAATTTTTTTCTGTTTTTACTCCAATTGAAGTTTGATTATATATGGAGTGCGGGGGGGTGGGGGGGAGAAGTCCCTTGGCAGGAGGTGGCAATGTTAAAACCTCAGTGTAACTGGAGATAGTGTAAGAGATGTTTTTTTGGGAAGAAAATTATTTATGAAGTCAGATCTGAAGAAGATTAAATTCCATTTATGGCCCTTGAGCGTGGCTCAGGTTGGGTTCTTGAACCTGAGAGGGAGTTTGAGGTGCCTGGCGTGGCTCCTGAGCCTGGTGAAGAAATGTCCTGCAGTGTCACTTTGTGTGCAAACAGTTCACTCATCTGTCTGTGTGCAGGGAGGGTTGTCGCTGTATATCCCTGAAGCAATGACCTGCTTCTTTGTACATTGGAGGAAATGCATCCTGTTTATAGCTTATGAGCATGGCTTTGTCATTGAAATGACAGTAAATTCTTGTGTGTGCTGAAGTTTTGTGCCCAGCACATCCAAGAGGAGGGGCCAGTCTACTTGATTGTAGAGAAATAAATAGATTGTCTTTTTTTGATCTTCTGATTTTCTGTTCACAGGTTTCCAATGCTTGTAGTTATAAGTTTATCAGTGTTTATAATATTATTCTTTCCAGTTGCGTATCACTTCAGTGGTTTCTTCAGTTCAGAGACTTGCAGTATTTCCCATATGTCTTACTGAGCTCTCCATGACTGTAAAGCAAGAGGAATCTCAACATCTTTTTGAAAATTGTTGTGACATCTGTGTAGAATCATGTCTTGACTTCTCTTATTATTTTCCATAAATATATTTACTTTTTTTGCCAAGATCTTTGATTAGTACTTACGCCATTAATTCATTTAGTGTCGAGTTAGCATTGAGTTCTCACTGTGGTGTATAATGACTATCACAGAATCATTACAGAGTACATAATAAAAAGAGTAGATGTGGTCAGAGTTTTTTTGATGGAACAATTTTTCCTTAGAAAATGTAGCTTAGATAGATTAGTAATTTTCTGGGAGAAGGCACTGATTCTGTGGGAAGTGCACACACGCATTAAGCACGTTTATTTTTGTTGAAACCAACTTGATTCTCTTTTCTGCTTAGTCTTGCCCATTTCTTTTGTCAGCTCTCAATTCCTCAAATTCTCGCTGGTCTCTGAGGTACTCCAAGCACTGAGGATCTGTGGCAGCCTTTAGCACATGGAAGCTCAGGCTTCCAGAGCTTCATGGCTAGTGTTGATCTACCCTGCTGCCAGTGCGGAATCCCCAGGTTGTCAAATTTTGAACAGCAGGAGCCCTAGGAGTCAGGCAGTCTTACTGTGTTATGGCAGCTCTTTGTCAGACTGTTTAGAGATGCACAGCTCAGGTTATATGGTTTTCTTTTACTTTAATTTGCATTTTTATATCATTAATTGTTAGGCACCTACTTATTTGATTAAATAGTGTTAAAACAGATACTGCTGTAATTGAAACCACTTATTTTTTTGTTCACTTGTTTACTGTTTGATGCCATAATGAAAATTTAATGTTTGAAACTTTGATCAGTGTTAATTGGAGTAGAAGCAGTTTTTAATATGCCAGAAAAGAAATTTAGGCACCAACATAAAGATATTGGAACAAGCTGATATTCTAATTGGTATCAGTGTTTATTTTCTTGTTTCCTTTGTCAAATTGTTTCAAAGCAACCTCAAATGAGTTACATTTCTAACAACAAAACAAGGTAAACATTTTGCTTGATGCTCATCTGAATAATATTTGCTTTATGCATTACACTAGGCTAAGAATAGGTTGTCAAGTGATAAGAACAGACCCTCATAAAAATTTGAGAGGTTTCCTTTTAGTGTGTGTGCTGCATGAAAGTGCATGAGTGGCAGTCATGGTGCATATGCAGAACCGAATAGGTTACAGAATGTGTGTTCAGTTATACTGTCACTAACAATATTCAGCATTAATTTACCTTTCAGAATTTACTAAGGAACAGGAATTTCAAATTTCAACCAATTCAGCTTTTTTAAACACACATTAGCTTACAAATATCCTATCACCTGAGAGCATTAAGGTAAAAACTTATTCAGGATTTTAATATAGTAAGCTAATAACCCATTTTTATTTCCTGCTGCAGTTATAAAAGTGAATTGCAATCCAGTAGAATAAGGGCATTTTCAAAAATTGGATTTTATCCATGAAAATTTCCTAATGACGAGCTTTCCCTCAGGTCATTTTAAGTTTTGCAGGAAGTTTTATTACTTAGCAGAGCACTAGTTGGTTCTAAAGATGTTCTTTGAAGTAGAGACTTGTTTCAGTTACTAACTTAAAGGAGATGGAAAAGAATGTGATCACTTGAAGTGTGTCCATCTTTCTGTTACCTGGATTTCCCACAGACTGTGTTGGATAAGTAGTTTTCTCTGGATTCTTTACCATATCTAGTTTGTCTGTAAGGCCTGTTTGCTGTTTTAACTCTTGAACTTCGGAACAACTGGTACTGGTGGTTGACAAGGTGATGTTGAAAGGTTTAACAAACTTACAGTTGGTTGCAGTGAATTCTGATCTTGAAGGAGCTTTTATGCTTGTTTCTTTTGCACAGTTCTCTTTTGTATTTTTTCGCTCTGTGATGTTAGAAGCAGCATCCTAGCACTAAACCTAATGATGGCTGTTTCACTGAATTGTGAATAAAAATACTTGAGCTTCACTACAGATGTGTGTTTCCTCACTATGTTAGAAAAAAAAATCCTGAAACTACAAAAGTGGTTTGGAATTAAAGTCAATCTAACTTTGTAGTTGACCAATAACCCTCTTTATGTACTGCTTAATGGATAAAAGCCATGGAGTAGACATCTGTGCAGGATGAGACCAATTATATTAAATGATTTCTAGTGTCAAGAATATTATAGAAATATTGCTTGTTAAAATAACAGGAATGGTATTTAGGAAATTATATATTACTTCTTAAGAAATGAATATTTGTGTGGCATGGTCATATCTCTAACTGGTAGTTTCTGGCCAGTTGGAATTACATTCTGAGAATCACAAATTTTTAATGATCCAATTACTTTCACAATAGTAGATTTGAATCCCTGTTATCTAAAAAGAAATCATCATTTGAATTGACTGTTGTGGGTTGTGGGGGTTCTTTTAAACATGCTCTCACTGATTTGATCAAATGCAGTCTCTCCTTCAGGAATGAAGGGGTGACAGAATATTCTTTGTTCTTATTTTAGTGCTTTTGTTCTTGATAAAGCTGAACACAACATTCCAAATATGAATTGATAAGAACATTGTTGGCAAATGTTAGGATTTTTGGTTTTGTGAATGTCATTTGCAAGAAAAAATTAAAATGTTAGTACAGTTTAACTTCTTATGCTATGGCTTTTCAAGTAATAAGGTAGAAGAAATAACTCTGGGCAGATATTTATTCTTTCCACCATCTGCTAAGAAGCAAAGCATGCTCTGCTTCTTCCACTTCTTGCATACAACATATATAAATTGCTATAGAAAGACACTAATAATTTATATATTTGATTAATTCAGGGACATGTGCCCGAATTCTTTTAAGTTCTGGAAAAATCAAACAGTCTGTAAAAAAACCCAGCCTTTTTTTCTGTAGCTCTGTAACAATGGTCAGTTGGATTTAATGTCAGAGGAGATGCTTTCAGTCCTTTTTTGGCAATGTGTTGGCAATGATTCTCTTGTCTTAAGAAATCATGCATAAGATTACAGCTTGACTTGAATAAAGAACATTTAGGTTTCAGAATGTCAAAAAAATCTCAAACTCTCCAGATTTTGGTGCTAAATAACAAAGAAACCTTTCAAAACCACTTTCTGTGCCATGGAACAATAACCAAACTAATTTCAGGAAAACAAGTTTCATGTTGTTCTGAACCTAACCATGACCAAAACCTGATAAGACTCCTTAGAGCTGGAACATCTCTTGAAATTTGAACTGCCTAGTTAAAAGTGTAATGTTGTGGCCAGTTTTCTGTAGAAGTTACATTCTCTCCTTCATGGTTCTACCATAATTGCAGGTTTGATGAGGTATTGTTGTTATGTTGTGATGAGCTTGTTACCTGATTGCACCGTTTCATTTGAGATGCCAGCATAAAGGTTTTTTTACAGGCCAAAATCTGTAAATCTTTACTGACCAGAATTCAAATTTGAACATAATTTTGTTATATTTCCACTAAGTACTGTTGTATTTGACCATTTCTGTATGGTTTACTTCAAAATTAACTTGTGTTCTTAAGGTGCTGGGTATGTGCAAGATCCATATGATTTACTGTCAAATACATATGATATAGATGCATCAAAATATTTTCACTTAAATGGGAGCTGTAATTATATCAATAAATATACAACATTCAGTCATGCTTGAGGTGTCATAGAGAATTTAATAACAACTTGTTTTTATGTAAAAGTTTTTCAGTGCTACCTGGGGATATGCCACAAATGTTAAGGTGTCTTTTCTTCCCTTGCTCTCACTTTCAGAGTAGCATGCATTTAAAAGCAAGTAGCAACTTGCTTCCATTTGTTACCAAAATGACATGGTAGGAGCAATCAGTTTCAATTGCTGCTGATAATTATAAGGTGCAATAATTGAGAATATAGAGAAAAGGAGACTGTGAGCTGCATTTGAACTCAGTACTTAAGCAATAAAAAATTTATCAAACTGCAAAAAATAAGTCATTTTAACGAGCACATTCCAAAGGTGCTGGATTTATGAGGAGACCCCAGGAAACTTTGATTGAAATTGCTGTCTCTGATTGTAGTTCTATATTTTATTGGTGCCATATTGTGAACAGTGCTGCTGCCAAAGTGAATGGGAAAGCAGAATAACAGAGAGAGTTAACCCAGAAAGGTTACTTCTTTTCATAATATCCATGATGTATTGCATTAAAAATGCCTTGAAAGCCATCCTATTTGCAGTTTTCAGAAAACATTTTTCTTAAATTAAGTTACGATTTATCTGAAGAGGGTAGAAAACATGAAAGCCCCTTGAAGAGTTTAGTATTGATTTTTCTGAGTATTTGCTAGCTCTTGTTTTCTCATTTGTGTGCTCCTTGATAGAAGGGCCTAGACTTGCTCCCAAGCCAAAGCTTCAGTTGGCTGAGAGCTGCAGCAGGGAAGGGAGGGAATTTGGGGACTAAACTTACAGTAAGATTTTTAACTTAAGAACTTTTTAGATTGGCTCTTCAAAAGGTTTTTGCTCTCTGCTTCCTGAATATAGACAATATTTAATTGGCATAATAACTAATAGATTGTCTTAATTTTCCAAGGGCAACCCCCAATTAAAAAAGCAATGTAGTAACCTTGTGAGAGGAGTGACATGAATATTTTGGAAGTGTGAGTTCAAGGCCGCGTTTTGTGGGTGCCTATTCTAGTAAGAGCTATATGTGTTCAATATTTTTCTTGTAGAATTTAATGAAGGGAAAGGTTTTAAAAATTATTACGTGAAAGCACATTTCAAGTGGACAGTGAAATGGACACACACAGTTACTAACTTGTAAGCCAGAATTTGGCATGTTACATAGTTCACTTCTAACCATTCACTGCCGTTCTGTGCCAACTGCTTATTAAAACTTCATCCTCCCTGTCAAAATGCTCTGTTACTTTAGCCCTAAAACTGTTATACCATAGCTCCCAAATACCTTGTTATAAGTGCTGACTGTATCTTTCAATTTATACTGCAGTGAAGTAAGCTTATGAAAATAGTTCTGAGGGATTAAGCTCTAAATACTATTTCTATGCAGTGGATTATTTTTTCCCCAAGCTCAACATGTTCGTGTTGCCTAATGATAAGAAAAGTGTTGTGACAAATGTATTGAAGCTTCATTGGCTATTGCACATGTTATCTAGCATGTTTGACTAATAATTTTGAGAAAAGAATGACAGATGTGATTCCAAGATTTGCTCAACTTTGGTCTAGTCTGTGTTTTGTAACCATTATTTCACCTTACTTTGTCTCAGTTTCTGATTTACTGAAATTGCAAGTATGTACACAAATGAAATTGCTCATAAAATGCTTTGGCAGTTTATGACTTGAAATTCTTTCAGAAGTTATCTATTGCTATATCAGTGTTACTGCATTTTTAAATTTTTTTCTTCTATGCTTATAGTTTCAGTAATGAAACAAATTAAATTGAGTGAGGCTTAATGAAAACTCCTCTTACACATGCTTGAGAACTTCAGAAAACCTCAAGTCCACTACAAACCTTGGCTTGATTTGCCTTTACTTTGCAATTAACCTGAAGTTTTCATCTTGGTAACTTTTTTACTTTTACCTATTGCATACTTGTGAATTTGGAGATGATGATTATAGCAAGTGGAGGTTATAGAATCTTTAAGCCTGTTAAGATTGTACCAATATGGGATATCTTTAACTCTGTATTATTAGATGAGATTTTATATTTTATGATTCTTGCCCTGTCTCTCATGTTTGTGGTGTTTTTCTCTCTCTCTCAAGATTCAGGTGTGGGAGAAAGCAATGAACAAGAACTGAAGGGAAGAGACCCAGCTGTTTGGCACGTAGGCTTGAAGGTAGCGTGGGACATTGAGACACCTGGATTAGCAATACCACTTCACCAAGGAGACTTCTACTTGATGCTTGGTAATTTTCAAGTGCTAAGAAGTTAAACTTTCTGTTGACAGTAGAGAAAATTACATTTATATTTAAGTAAGTTACCACACCTTCCTTTCAGTTAGGGCTTTATTTAGAAAGATGTGAGATCTGGCTAGGGTATATAATAAATTCCTTCTTCCCTGCCTACTTCCAGAGTATTTTGATGGAATTTTTTTATTAATGTTTCTTTCACTTCACAGCTAAGAAAGAAATAGGTTTTTTGTGCCTTTTCTATCTGTTTTTTAGTCAGAATTAGTAGACTAGTCGAAGACAGGCTTCAGGCCATAACCAGAATTTCCTCAGATCTTGTAAGAAGATGCACTGTATCTGTCCCATCCTTGTATTTCTAGATGCTTTTTGTATTCTTAATGCAGCTTTTCTGAGTAACTGTGAGCATTTTGCATCTGTTATGTTCAACAAATAACTTTCTGTCCTTCAGCATGGCTTATAGAGTGTCACCTGTATTATGTAAGCTGTGAATGTAACTGTCTTAAAGTTTTCTTGTACCATGGTTCTTGAAGTTTCAGTCATTATGCCAATCTGTGGATGTTTTATTAGTCACCAATTTTACACCTGACACTTCTGTCCTTCTGCTACACTTTTCCATGCCTATATTCAAACATGCTATTTTCTAGTGGTGGGATTATACTAAGATCATAATGAACAGAGCTGCCTTACTCTAAGAGTGAGTCTCAATGTCTCAAGCATAGAGGATTAAAAGAAGAAAATTAAATTGAGTTAATTTACTTGAGCAGCTGAGCTCACTCACTAAGGTTTTTCCATGGAAAGAAACGAAGTGAGAACTGCTCCTAAGGTTTGTTGACACAAAATCTGTTGCTTTTTCTTTTGGCTTGTGTTTCTCTTGGTTATAACTTTTTGTTTAAATAAATTTGGTTACAAATCAAACAAAACAAGAACAAGGCTTTTGACAACATCACGTTTGCCTGGTTAGTGTCTTGGCTTGACAGAGAGCACTTGCACTGTTGCCTGTTTGTGTTTGTGCCTTGGAAGGTAAACTCCATGGAATGTCCCTAGAATGACCTGTCACTCCCAACTTGATGAGCAGAACAGTCTTTTCAACTTTCCCTTTCCCTTTCATCTTCCAACAAAGATGAAAACAGTTTACTTACAACAAGCAGTACATTTGTTGGCCATCTTAAAAAATATATACATTCTGTGTTCTTAACTACCTCATCAGATCTTGTGCACTGTCATCAGTGAGGTATCTTGTGTGAAAGCCCTGTACTGACTGTGCTCTTAAACGTGTTCAGACATGAACAGATCAAGTGTTAAGATGTGAGATCCTTTGGCACGGTGGTGTGGATGTGCCTCTCTTTTCTGTATTTGTGAGGATACAGAAAGAGAGAGTGAAGTGGCAGCTAAACATTCTTAGAAAGGCTATTGTTAATCTATTTTTGTGCAATAACCATCAAGTAAACTTCTTATCTAATCCTTCCTGACTGGAAAGTTTGTGCATACACAGCTATGCTGGGCAACAGAATCAGAAGGTGATTAATAAAAGAGGGGGTATAACTTCAGTATTTTGATTGAAAAATACTGTGGATTGTAGTTGACTGAGTTACCAGATCATAAGGGCATTTTTTATTTCCCCAATGGAATTCAAATGCAGTAACTGAAGTACTATCAGGAATGCTCTATGAAGGGTGACTCAGAAAATTAGTTTATTTAATACGTAACATTGTGAACCTGTTTAGATGGAAACAAAGGATATATTTAACATTCCTTTGAAGATGAAGAGTAAATCACTTTCTTATTAATACTTTGTGAAGAGCTACAGATTTGAGCTCTGTAGGCCAGGTGTTTTGTTAATCTCTTCTGTGTTTCCGTAGTCTTTGTATTTCTTTTCAATTACTTGAAAAAAAAAATTACTCTTCTACACAGTCTGAGAGGGTATCCCAAAATGGCACTTTTATTAGGTTACTGTGTGCAGCAGAACTGCCTTTATCATTTTCACTTGAAGTGAAAGACAGTATAAGTGGACGTATATTGTTTTAGTGTACTTTTTTCTGTTCAGATTTTTTTGAAATTACTTTTAAGAGGAGGCACCTTGAGGATGCCATCTAAAAGCTAAAATAGGAAAACTCTGTTTTTAAAAAAAATCTCTTGACAATAAAAAAAGAAAATTTTAGATTCCTTTCTCTTGTGCATTTGTACACAATATATTCCAGACCCTCATTTTCAGTAAGCAGAGTCTTCTTGCTGACATTATTTTAAAAAGCAGTGGCAGCAGTAAGTAAGACATCTAGAAAATAGAACATTAAGAGTACTGCAGCTACTGGAGCTGTTGATGTACAGAGGCTGATTGATATATCGGGCTGGTAGGATTGGTTCTGACTACCATTGACTCATCCACTCTAACAGAAGACTTTGTAACTCTGTAGGTCTGTTCTTCCAGTTGTTGAGATGGTGCAGTGCTTACTGCTTTATATGGATGCTGTAAAGTGCTGAAATGTTGCTTATAATTAAAAGTCCGGTCCTATCAAGTCCTGTACCTGTAATACCCCGAGTACTACACACAAATCTTATATAAAAAAGTGTAGTAATAGTAATGTACAATTACAGTAACTTGTAAATCCAGATCAATGGGTATAGCAAAGTAACAAAGAAAAACAGGGGTGTTTTTTTAGCATTTCTAGTAGACATTTAATAATGTTTATGTTCCCCTCTTCATTGGCTCTATAAAATGGATTTTGTTATTCCGGGTAGAAATTTAGTAAAATGTCTTAAAATTTAAATTGACATCTGCCTTCTCAGCAGCCCTCTTCAGATGAAATCGTGAGCTGAAATTTAAATGCATGTTAATCCTAAACATGAGGTGACCAAATCCATTCTTCCATTAAGCTGTTACAATAATATAAGGGGTGTGGGGGGTTTAGGCAAAACCAATCAAAACTCAAAATTACTTTCAGTAAGACAGATTTTTTAAAATGATTTTTTTAAGGCTTTCTGTAATAATAAGAAAAAAAGTCTGGTGAATGACTGCAAGTCTGCTGCCTAAAAACTCGAATCTGAACTTTATATCACTCATGAAACGGAAACACTTTAGCTCAATTTAGAATAATATATTGGTCTGCAGAGGAAGTGCATACTGAACCCTGCTGTCTCAAGTACACAGTCAAAGGGTGTCTAATATGAAACGTGTTGGGTGCATGCAATAAATCCAAAACGCGTGGAGGTGAGCAAAGGGCCCCATCTGCTCTGTCCTAGAGCATGCTTAACTAGGGTTGTCATGGTCCTACTATTAAATTGGAATCTTTCCCCTAATCTTTGAGTTAGACATGACCAGATTTGCAAGCAGATTTACAATTTTCACTAATTTTCCTACCATGACTTCAAAACATACCTAACAAAAATACATTCTGGACTCTTTCAAAGGCAGATTTACTTTTCTGCAGCTGTTTCCCATAGATCAAGCTCTTGCTTGAAGGTTAGGGTTTTAAAACAGCATGAAGATGAACTTTGAATCTTATACCACTCCCACCCCTAGCAAATTATAGTTCGAGAAGCATCAAAAAATCATTTTCCTAACCAACCAGAAGAAGGGTGCACACATTGCAGAGGTTGGCTTGTGGTTAAAGATAAGTATTTAATGGAAGCGCTTCCACATGTATATAATGACTCATTAAACTATTTCTAGATATTTAATCTGCTTCTATTTTCACAAACTAACTTGAAACCTCTTTGCTCTCTAGCATCTTGAATGTGTTGGAGTTTTTTACCTCTCCCTTTTTTTTTTTTTGAGTCCACATTTAATCCAAATGGTGTATTCCTTACTATTAAGACTTAGAACTTCAGGAATGTATTTGTCGTTACCAAACTTTGATCATGAAGGTTGGCAAATCTCAGACACATTTTTTTAAATTTTAAAATTTGCTATTTAGCTTTTAATTAATTGTATTTTGTTTGTGCAGAAAACTAAAAATATTTCTTAGTTAGGGAAAGATCATCCTTCTAGCTTTCTGTTATGAAAGGAATGTTCCACTGACCTATAATTTCTTAGGAAGGAGATATACCTTCCTGGTCTTTTTATTGATACATCTGCAGTAAAATTAGTTTTGTTAGATTTTGTCCTGTTAAAGCATTGTGTGCAGTTGGATACAAGTAAAATGGAAATGGTGGAAAAGCATTTTAGTGCTTTGAAAATTGCACTGTAATATGGTTAAAAAGAAAATTCTTTACTTGTTAATGGTAGTTAAGAAAACTAATAACAGAAGTCCCTTTCACTTCTGTTTGTAGATACTTGTGGTGGCTAGAATATTAAAACTTTTGTCAGTGCTTTAAACATCGCTGTACTTTTTATTTGCTTCATGAAATAGATGATGAAAAGGCAAATGTCTAAAAAGTTCAGGAAGAACAGTTGAGAGAAGATAGAAAAGACTGTATAAACCCCTGTTGATAATTCTGAGAACCATTTTCCATTGTGGTTTCTGTTTTCCTGGGAAGTACTTTACCTCCAAGTAATAAGTTTTGGGCCTTTAGTCCTCACTCCCTTAAGTAAGGTTTGGCTAAGAATTCCTTTTCCTTCTACCCTGTATTTGTTATGACTTAATAGTCTGCAGTGACATGGGTGTACAGTCATTGTTTCAGAGTGCTTTGGCTCCTCACCTCACTGGTGCTCTGATAATTAGTTAAGTAGTAGAATGAGTTAACTGTATGTGTGTTATTTGAATGTACAGACATATCCATTAGCCTGTTCTTTTGATAAGGGCTGTGTAAGCACAGTGCTTTCAGTGTTTCTCCTGGTGGAGCCCAGGAAGTTCAGCTGTCTAGAAGAAAGTGGAGGTGTGGACAGAGCAGGATCAGGGACTGAGAACAGTATTGGAGAGAAAAGGAAGGAACTGGCAGTACTTTGAAGCAGCAGAGAGGACTGTGCTGAGGTTCTGTTCTGGGAGGGACATCTTTGAGAAGAAAACCAGGCTGATAGATGTCAGTACAGGGGAAGGAGAGACAGATCTATAATGTGAACCTGCTTCCACCATTTAAAATAGAGTATGCAGCATCCAAATTCAAAAATGTATCTGCTGTCTCTAAATGGCAGTAAAATCACTGAGAATTTTTGCTGGTAAGGAGGCCCCACACAGAGAATCATAGTCTGCATCCAGTAGTAGAGGGGTGGTCAGCTGTTAAATCTATGGCATTAGATCCATCTGTAAGCCCACTTCCTGTACAGAACTTCCATGCAAATTTTGGCAAGTCCCTTAACCTCTAGTTACCCTTAGGTTTTTCTGTGTTGGTTACCAACTTTTCAGAGGCCTTGCAAAATAGCAAAATAGCATTCTAGCATGTATTGTACTTTATTAGTTTTTCTTGATTGTTCTCTAGAATTATTATTTTAAATTAGGAAAATTCACAGTGTTTTAAAATTTATAAACGTTCAAAAAGCCTGATGAGACTTCAGAAAAATATTCTGTGCAAGCGACAGCATTTTTCATAGCCATGGGAAAGCTTTGGGAGAGGAACAGTCATATAAGCAGAAAATTGTAGTCCAATTCTCAAAACTTCTTTCTTATCTAACAATTAGTTAATTGGCATATGCATCTTTTAAGCACGCATGTGGAATTTTTTTAGAAAGAGAAAGGATTGTGAGACAATTCTTGAAACTACTAAATACATTGCTAAGTTGGTGTTAATGGTAATTTAAAATAATAAGTCACTTCTCATATGCATTATACAGTTCAAATAAGTTTTCGTTTCTGTAACAGATATTAAAATGATATATCCCTGCCATAGTTGTCCAGAACTGGTGGCAAGGTAAGGTCCCACTGTTTTGTGACAGGAAAGACCATGTTGGCTCTGACCTCACCACAAATTCAGGAGAACTGTCCAACAGACAACTGGCCTGCCTGAGTGTTCCAAAGCAGGATGGACAGATATATGTCTGCTTTTACATACATGTACTTTTCGTGATGCATTCTGCTGAAGAGGCAGCATTTTGGTTTTCCAGACCTCGCCAGTCAGTGCTTAGTCATTTAAAACTGATGTTGCCTCCACGTGTGTTGTGTTTTAGAGAACCCACGAGAGCGCTCTGGTAGTTCTGACACGGGTGACCGAAGAATGCAACAGCTTTGGTTTGGCTCTAAAACTAGAACAGTAATCTGGGTATAGTGTTCTGTATCTGAATAAAAGCTTTTACTGCCAAATGGACAATGGCCAATTTAACAAAGAGTGATTTTTTTCTTCTCAGTTAATATATATTTAGTAGAAAAAGAAAGCAAATCTTTACCGTAATCTTTTAAGACCTAAAATGTATTTTTTAATGTGCTTTGAGGCATGCAATCCATGAAGCTTCAACTATTTTTGTACGATTAGAGTTTTAGATGAATTGTAAACTCTTAAATTAAAATTACAGGCTTCTTTCTAAGATTCATAAAGGATTAGAGACAGTTGGAAGCAATTCCAAGGAAGAACTCTACAGTGAAAGATTTGCCAAGGGTTTGAATAAAGGTGCAAATCAAAATGTAATATGTCTAATTCTGTGTTAGCTAAATAAAACATGCCACACTGAATGGACACTGAAAGGGGTAGTGGAAGTATTTAGGAAGATGTGACTGAATTATCTAAGCACTGGAGAAAAAAGTAGTGTACTTAATTCATATTCAACCAGATTAACTTCTATTAAGTATATTTTTTTCCTGTACTTAAGGTTTTCTAATCTGTCCCTAGATGATCTCAATATGACACATCAGCACTGTGTTGTGGCTGGTTTATCACCTCGATTCAGCTCAACTCATCGAGTGGCAGATGTGAGTATCAAAAATGTTTTGCTGTTTAGTCCTTTGTAAAACTAATATTCTGGTACCTTATATGTAAGATCATGGTGTGTTATCCAGATTTGTGGTTCATGTTATGCTTATGACTCAAACTGTTTTCTTGAACAACTGCTTTTTGATTAGCTTTGTACTGAGGCCCACTTGCTTCTGTATTGGTAGTTTGCCTAAACTCCCACGTAGACATGTCAGATATGAATTCAGAAAGTGCTACATCACACCTCATGGATTGCTGATGAAATATGGAAACTGCTTTTTACCTGAAATGTTCTACAGCTGTTTTGCTGTATTCATATTCCAGTCCTAGTTGAAAGGTGAAATTCATGATGAGATAGAAATACTCAAAACACACACCAGCAGTGTCCACTGGCAGAAAAAAAGGCCTTTAGGAGATCAGAACAACCAAGACTAGGCATGAGTATGCTTTAAATTGTGTCCTTCTCTGCATTTGAGGATTGAATAAGCAGAAAAGCTAGCTTCAGCATAATTTTTATCAATAACTATATAGACAATTCAAGAAGCTTTACACTTTTGTTACTGTTCTGCTTTGGTTATTTCAGAAGCAAATTGTTCAATATATTTGAGAAGTACATATTTTCTGAAGTGGTCATATATAAATTTTTGTTGTATCTTTATAGTGTTCTAGAGGAACATTGGAATACATATTTGGACAATGTGAACTGGCACTCCAGAATTTACAGACTGATTCTGATTCAATGGCTTTATCTTTGAAATCACTGGAAGCTGCAGTTGTGAAGCAAGTAGAAGAAATACATAATGAGGTGAGATGATCTGCACCAAAAATGCTTCAGCCAGGTCTGAGTGGTGCAGTCTCTTCATGGAGTTAATGACAGTCATGTTCAGCTGCTTACATTGCTTTGTGCAAGTTTGCAATGTGGATTTTATGACTTTTTTACTTGGGTACAGTAATGGGGATTATCATGGAAGTTTTCATTTTTCCTTCTTAAGATCCCTCTGCTGGTAAAGTAAGAGAAGTTTCATAAAATATTGCACCAAATCTGGCAGTGTGGTGAACAAACAAACTACTCTAGTGCTTCTCTAACTGAAAGGAAGAGAGAGAAGAAATTAGAGGATTAGAGGGAAAGAGCAGGTAGAATTTTACAGCTGTTCCTCCCTGGTTCCTGTTGAACCAGCTTTTTGCCAAAGGCTGGTGCAACACAATTGTGAGTGTGGGCTTTAAAGTGTGTTCTGAAGAAAATGCAGTGGAAGACATTGTGAGGAACATATTTAAGGAGGTCATTTAGTGCTATAATATATGCAAGCGTAACAATGCACTTTGACAGGAAAGCACTGGCAGTGCTTTCTTGCTTGGAGCTGTGCTGTATTTCTGTTAAGATAAATATGATCACTATTAGAAGCCATACATGGGTCATTTTCACTGAAATTAGAATTTGTGTGAAATGTTTAAATTGCTGTCTGCTGAGGAATTCTCATTCTGTAGTGTTACCAAAATTTCGTAGAGCACATTTTTATCTGTATTGTGTTTACAGTTGGTAAAATGGGGTATACTGTTGGCAAAAGATTTGCACCCTTGACTTTTACCAAAACAGCTCCTAGGGCAATTTAAAGAAGTCTGATGCATGGAGGGGTTTACAAAACATTAATCAGGCTCAGTCCATAAAACTACACGCATATGTGGTTTGTACAGCAAGGGCCACATGCACAGCTGGTGTAAATTTGCACGGGTCCTTTAACATCAAAGCCATGTGCTGTTTACATCAGGTGAGAGACTAGCCCCTGGTGTTTGCAGTCACCTGAATAATTTTGCTGTGTGACATACAGGGATGTTTCCTGTTACACATATGGGATATACTGTAACAGCAACCTTTGTTTAACTTGTACCTATTGTGCGCTTAGACTTAGGAGACACGTTGGATCTATATTTAATTTGAAAAGAGAATACTAATTTTTTTCTGTTCTTTTTGTTTATTCTTTTATCCCAAGGTCACCTCTTTGGTTGAAGGGTAAATTCTGTATGTTAGAGTGCCACTTAAATTTCATTTATTACTGCACAAGTACACAAAAGTTCTAGTGGCTTATCTCTGGTAAATGCATATTTCTTTTTAAAACATCAGTGAAGTGAAAACATACAGACCTGTGAAGCTAATGGAACTTTCCTGCATCTAAAATCTTCCTACCTTATTTTATTCTGTGTGAAAAAATTTTGTCTTTTCAGGCACTAATACAGATTTTAGGTTCAAACTTTCTCATGCAGGTGAAAAACAAGAACCTGTTTTGTTTCTTTAAATAATCAACCTGCTTACTGATGAAAACGAGCCCTGCATTTCACTCCCTTAATTTTTTAGTATTTTTAAATGCAAAATCTAAATAGCACAAAAAGCCCAACATAGTATTGATGGAGAAGTGCCACCCAATTTCCCAATCTTTCTTGTGTATTTCTGGTATACAGCTTTCTGTACTAGTTCTAAACCTCCTTGTAACTTTTTTTTCTTCCTCTGGACCAGAAATCATGAGCTCCAAATGAGAGTATTCCCATCTCTGAAGGTGGTGATACTGATGTATTTTATTTTCAAATATTGTCATAACTGAAGTTCTTCAGTTTAACTCTCATAATTAGATGCAGTCATTGTTATTGATTCTTTTGCTTCTTGAAATGCCATGGGTTCATTTATTTTTACCCCTCTTGCTGGTACCTCCGAAGTCATCAGAGAACATTAACCAAAACAGAACCATCACAGTACCAAGGTAAAATATAGTAGTTTAGCAGAGATTCCCAGTCTGAGCTGAAATTAACTGCTCTGCCAAATGAGACCTGGATGAATTATCAGTGTGTACTAGAGGGAAAAAGCCTAAGAGCAAGTCTCAAAAAATGAAGTATGATTCTGTGCCTTCACTGTTGTACTCCTGGGCAGGAAAATTGACTTGCTGTGCTGATGAAGTGCATTTGAACTGAGGATCTGAAGCACAGGTGGAGACTTAGGGGTTTTTTTTCCACTTTCATGGTGGGCAGAGAAACCTCTAAGAGAAGTATGGGTGAGTATCTGGGGGATGTCTTTACTTGATATTAGATTTCCCAGAGTTCATTTGTCGGGGCTCTGTCTTGGATGTCTTGAGATGTCTTCCTGTTGAAAAAGTAGGATTCTAACCTGAGGAGGTTTTTAGCATCTCTAGTGGGCAGCCAGGTGGAAGTTTAATATTTCTTTAGACCTAGCTTTGTTGTCATGGTCTCCCTCAGTAAAACAGCCTTCAAAGGAATATCTGAGTAATTGCAAGGTATGTGCTGTTTGTTAGATGTGTGAGTCACTTTGGTCCCAGTATGCACTTTGTAGTTGTAAGTAAAGATAGCCTTAATTAAGGGTGTTCACGTGCTGCTTGTCTGAGTAGCTTGTGGGCTTGCAGTCTGAACAAATACTTCAGTGGCAGGGGTGTAGCAGGGTGAACAGATGTAGTTACCTTCCAGCTGTGGACTACAATAGCCTAAAAACTCACACCCAGTCACAATCAGATCGCTGTTTGGCCAGTAATAATTTATGCCAAAAGAAATGATCTTGCTGAATTCCTTGAACAGGAACCTCTTGCTCCTACTGAATCACACTTGGCTTTCCAAAATACATATAGCTACTGAGTACATCCCAAACAGAGCTACAGGGGACCTGGGGAAAACCATTGGCAATTGCTTTTTAAAGTAACAAAACACTGCTGAACAGGTGATGTAAATGCTCATACGTAAAAATAAATCTGCAGAAAAGATCTTCACCCTCCTGTCCTTCACATTTCAAAGAAAATTTACTTTTCTTGCTCTGACTAATGCAAAATCTGCTAATAGTTCATGTTGGTGTGAGGTACTTTCAAGGCTTGTTCGTTTGCCAACACCAAACTAATAATTGGATATTCTCAGTGAAGTAAAACACTATAGGAATTTTTTTTTAGTGTCTAGGGATTGTGCTAAAAATATGGCAGGTTTCAAAGGAAGTACTCAAGTTTGAAAGATAGACTTTTTTTCTCATCAGGATATTTGCTCGGCTGTAATTATCAGATCCTGATTGCCATGACTAGAACTAAGACTGAATGGGTTGTCCTGCTGCTTGTGAGGTACAGTCACCTTTTTCCTACAGCAAATCTGTTTTTATGGCAGCAGTAGGTAAAGCTGGTGAATACACAGGGATGTAGAAAAGTCTGGACTAGATGAGTTGAAGGTATGTGGTGTTAGACACTGAGGCCACTGATGAGAAAGGGTAGTGGTGTATGCAGGCAGAGGAAGGTTAATATGTTTTAGCACATCACGGTGAGCTGATGGTATGGTTGGTGACTGACTAGTCTGGCAGAGAGAAATATAGATCACCTACATGCAAGGCATTTAATAACCAGTACTTTTAAATTATTGACTGAGGAGCACTGCCTCACAAAATGCCAAATGCTACTGTCAGCCTTTTACTACCCAATGTTGACAATAGCCTAAAATTGGCCTTTAATCATTGTTTAAAGGACAACTTGAAAATATGTTGAGATTAGACATATGAGGCCTGATTCTGAGCTTACTTGCACAGATGTAAATCCTAAGTGAAAATCCATTAGGAGATGAAAATTATTCCTCAGACACTCAGCCTATATATTTTTATATGTGAATATGTTTAAGCTTTGTCCTGTTTGGTCATGTAAAATGCTTTCTAATGATGCCTAAAGTTAGCTCTGATATATGTAAATCTCCAAATTAAAAGTCTGTGACAAAATCCTTGGCAAGAGCTGTTAACCTGATAGTTTTGTCACAGAAGATGAATACTCTGTAACTTCAGTTCCGTTAAGGCTAGAATTGAGCTTTTTGTGTCTCTCCAGTATTTAGTGTCGTGAGGGTTTTTCTGTGGCACAGCTCCTCCTGTTTGTGGAAGGAGACAAGCCAAGAAGAGTGCCTTCCTGCTACAGAAAAAGATGTTACTGAAGAGAGCACAGTTGAAAGCAAGAGGACATACAGCTTGGAAAGCAGATAGCATGTTGTTGTGAAAACATGGATGTGGTGTAAAAGGTGTTTATATGTTAATTAAAAATACCAAGCAATCTTAGCATAGCAAGAATCTCTGGAGATTTTCATCATAGAATCATGGAATATGCTGAGTTGGAAGGGACCCATCAGGGTCATCGAGTCCAACTCCTGGCCCTGCACAGGACACTCCAAGAGTCACACCATGTGCCTGAGAGAATTGTCCAAATGCTTGAACTCTGCCAGGCTTGGTGCTGTGGCCACTTCCAGGGGGAGCCTTTTCCAGTGCCCAACCACCCTCTGGGTGAAAAACTTTTCCCTGATATCCAACCTAAACCTCCCCTGACTCAGTTTCATGCCATTTCCTCGAGTCCTGTCACTGGTCACAAGAGTGAAGAGATTGATACCTGCCCGTCCACTGCCCCTTGTGAGGAAGTTGTAACTGCACTCAGTCTCCTCTTCTCCAGGCTGAACAGACCAGGTGACCTCAGCTACTCCTCATAAGGCTTCCCCTTCATCCTTGTGGCCCTCTTCTGAATGCTCTCTAATAGTTTGATGTCTTTTTTATATTGTGATTTTAGCAAATCTAAGTATTTATGTTTGCATGTATCTAAAACAAGGATAGAGAAATCCTGTCACCCTTGCCTCATCAAGATGGTTTTCTTTCTCAGAATCAACAGTTAGCTGCTCAGAGGAGATAGTTCGGTGCAGTCACATGTCAAGCAGCTTCATGGCCAAGTTGGTGGGTGAAACACTGTTTTTCTCCCCAAACCCCATTTTATTAACTCAGTTTAGAGCTTAACAGAGATGCTGTGAGATGAGTGTGGACCTGAGTTTGATAGCTGTAGTAGATGTCAGTCCACATCATTAAACAGCTGCTTTTGCAATTAGGTTCACTGACCTCTAATGAGACCAGCTAATCCTGCAGAAAATGAATTAGCTTGTTGCTAAACTTTATGTCTTACACCTAAAAAGCAGCTCTCCTGTGTCAAATCGTATGTGCTGTACAGGATCAAGATACGTTTAAATTTTGGCCCGTGTGCCAGACTTAAACTGAAATTGCATAGATTAATGTAGCAAATCAATATGACTAGCCAGAAATCAGGTTGACTGAAATAGATTCATGATGAATCATATTTTAACATTGATTTTAATAAAAAGAATTTTTTTTCCATTGATTAATGGCCGTGTGATTAATTTAATGAAACCTGTTTGCCAGACATCATGTGGTAGAGGCCAAAAAACTCAAAAAGAAATGGGGAGAGGAGAAAAAGAAGTATTGAGTTCTTAAAATTCTAGCTGAATATTGATATGCTCAGCCTTCCCAAAATGGTATATACTCATTTTCTTTTTTTTTTTTTTTTTCACAAACCATAATTTGATCCTTCATACCTTGTTAATATTGTAGAGGAAGCAAAGTTTCCTTCAGCATTTTTTAGGAAGGATGTCGTCAAACTTCTGTGCTAAAGAGTCACTGGCTAACAGTCAGGTTTTTTTAAAAACATTCTAAGGTCTGTGTCTGCCAGCTAATCATGTTATATTTTACCAATAAATTTGCTTTAATATTATTTTTGTATACTGGAAATTTAAGTATCTTTTATTGTAAACTTTAATTTATTGACCAAACCTTTAGTTAATGTTAACGGGGATACTTTAAGATTTCTATAGCAGTTCAGTTCACCCCTGCAGGAAAGGAAGTCTTAGGTGACAGCTTTGGCCACTTTTCTTTATTCTTTCACCTTGGTAAGTTGTATTTATTTGCATCTTTGGAATTGAGCAGGGATGAACAAATCTCCTTTGTGGTACAAATAATGATTAAAGTATCTTTGAACTTAGTGTGAAACATAACTACCACAACAAAGATATATATAGAATTCTAAAGGCCAGAACTACGGATTACTATTAAAGAAAAGTGTCTTCTCTGGTAAATGGGCTGTTTGGTAAAGGATGAAAGACTGTGATTCCTTGTAGTGCCACCCTCTTGTTCCATAGCAATTGACTGGGCTGCATTCTAGCAATGTTATCACTGCAAGTTTTTTCAGTCTTCTATGAGGGAAACATTTTGATATACCCAGTATTAATCACAATGACCCAGAGTTGGTACCTATTCGACTGAATTGTGAGGAAACCTGAATGTTTGTTGTACATGTACATGTGAAAAAAAAAAAAAGTTGGGGTTTGCAGTTCTCTGGGTTTGAAGAGAGTAGCTCAGGTCACAAATTGACATTGGAATAGAAGTAGAACAAACAGCTGGGTGTAAGGATGTGTTTAGAAATGAGTACTTTGGTGACTGTTTCCTTTTCTATGGGATTGTTCAGGTAGAGCTGGATTCATGCACTACCCCATTCCTGCCTCAGATCATGAACGTAGATGTTTATGCTGCCATATGTTTTTATCTTGCAGGTTGAATTTGAGTGGCTTAGGCAGTTTTGGTTCCAAGGCAAGAGGTATTTGAAGTGCACTGATTGGTGGCTTAAGCCTATGGCTAAATTGGAAGAATTTTGGAGAAAAATGGAGATTATGGTAAGTACTAGTTTTAAGTCTAAAGCCTCTAGGGCTTAATTCTGAGAGCACTCACAATTATGTTTTTAATTGTACTGTAGTAACGGGTTTTAAATTTTATTCAGAACATATGAGAAACAGAATCACTGTCAGCCTTATACTGTCTCCTCTCACTTTTATGCCCCAGTAGCCAGAAAAAATGTGAACAAAATCAAATCCAGCCCCCCAAGATTTTAGTTGTTTCCTGACTTTACTTGTTTTTAAGGTTTGACAGTCTCATAAGCTGACAGTCATATATTGCATCACACAAATTGGTACGTGAAACTGCATTGTCTACTTTGTGTGACACCCAGATAGACAACTCTGCCAATGACAACAATGGCAAATGCATCAGAGGAAAGTTAAGAACAGGATTGTTCATCTGGAGGTCTGTACCTGCACACTTACCCCACAGCTAGAACCAACAAGAGGAAAGTAGTTTTAAGAACAATTGTAATAATGGTTCCTGTGTACTTGAATGTACATCCTGCTTTCCTTGAACAGGGACTCTGTGCCAACATTGCCTGTTTGGACAGCTGCTGCTGCTGTCTAGGTGGAGATTCAGTTGGGACACTGTGCTGTCAGAGTTCTGGGAGCAGTTGTCTGCTGCTGGATTTGTGCTCAGAAGGAGCTATATGGGCAGATGTCTCCTGCTCATCTCCATGTTTTTGTCAGGAAGTTGCTTCTCAATCACTTCTGCTGGTCACAGCATAAAGGCTCAATTTGCCTGCAGTGGTCTTGGAAAAGTTTGTAATATTGCTGAGGATGCCAAGCAGGGGTGTGTTTGAATCTCTGGAGATGTGGTGCAACAAGAACATAATCTTGAGTCTCAAGGGAAATGTTGTGACTCACTAAGCTGCTCAAATGTATTGTAAGCTTCTCCAGCAGTGGCACGTTCCAGATGTGGAAAAATGTCTGGAAAAGTGGAACTTTCAATTGTGAAATCAGTTGTCACAGGGAATCAGTGAACACTGAATTTTCCTACAAAAGGAGAAAAAGTATTTATAACTTGTTTATGTAGGTTTTTTCCCCCTCATTTTTGTGTTCTTTTGTGCTCACAGCCTTGAATGACCTTTCTAATTTGAAAAAATATTTTGGTTTGTTTTTCTTTCAAATGACAACTTACTCACTTGTAACACAGGCTTAGATGAGGTAGAGACAAGAATGTTTGATATTTTATATGCGTTGTGTGTTGAGAACATGGAAAAACAGCAAACTCTGGAGCTCTCAAGGGTTAGGTTTTCTGCAATTGGTGTGACATTGCCAGGTGTCTCTAATTAGAAACATGGTGGCGTCAGTGTATCTCCTTTCAACAGGCCTCAGGATGATATTTATCAGCAAACTGAAGGTTGGGCCAAAACAGAAGCTGCTTCTAATTTAAATTTTAAAAATTGCTTTAATGTTTTATGACTTATAACATATTACTCACAATTAATTTTAGCTATTGAAGGAGACAGAAGAGAATGTTAATTGAGAATGTCTGTTTTGTTGAGTCTCTAAGTAAATTTGATGCTTACTGTATTTGGGACTTGGAGATGGGGTGGGTTTTTCTGGATTTAACCTACATTTTGTCCTGTGGTGTTCCACAAGGTGACAGTAGGGGACAATGTTGAGCCGCAGTTTCAATGCAGCAGCAGGAACAGCCTGAATAAAAATACATCGAAATGTGGCATTAACATCAAGAATTATCCCTGTTGCTTCAAGTTAGCTGTAATCTCTAAGATTCCATAACACAGGAAATCAATTGCGGGTTAACAAATTCAACAGCAATTTAACATAAAAAGTGCAGTGTTTTGGTGCATGCTTAGCTTCCACAGCTAAGTTAAATCAAAAGGGTATTTTTGAAGGTACCCAGTCGTCTGCAGTTGATGTTTTTTCTCCAAATTTATAATTTTAGCTGGATGATTGTTAAAAAAAATGAATCACGTAATATGCTAAAAGTAAAAATGTCTTAGAATTGTTGATCTAGCTTTGGAAGAAGTTTTCTGGTTAAAAGGAATTATTTCTTAAAAGAAAATATTTAAGCACTCTATTTTTCTTTTGTGTGCGAGCTGAACAATTCTTAACTTAATTTTCTTATATGTGTGTCTAGAGTGATACAAAATTCAGTCTTGGGGTCCCAGTATGCCTTTTTTTTAGTTTTCCCCCTTGTTTAGTAAAGCAGCTATAAAGAAGGAAAGAAAGTTTCCAAAATTATCTCTGATGCTGTTAATTGTAATTACTCCTCTGTCACATCAGAATATGATATTGCAGGAAGTTTAGCCCAGTGTCTTCAGACCTGTGGGCTTTATTTAATATTTTTGTACATTATAGCAAGCACACAATTTTATCATAATGTTTATTCCTGGCATTTCTTTCCCTGAGGATAGTTTTACTTAGAGCTCACTCTTGTGATGTAAATGTTAAACCTTTCATTTGAATGACATTCTGATAAAACATCACATTTCCCACAATATTACCTCATGAATTTATGAGCCATTAAATCCAAAGCAGTTTAACCAATCTTCTCTTTTTTTTTTCCCCCCCTTCCCTTGAAAATATGAAGGCTATTCATATGTTTGAGAGGGTTTTTTTAAAAGTCATCCAAGATTAACACATTATCACCTGCAACATCAGGATAAATGCTTGCTGAATTCAAAGGGAGAGTTACCATTTGAAAAAAAGACTGTACAAGCTTTGCTTTCTGGGTAAAGAGAAGTCTGAAAAGCTGAAATCTCATGTGATGTGAGCAACTCTTGCTGTAGCTGTTCTGAGATTCAGTGGAGAGACAATTTGTCTCTCAGGGTCTGATATCATGCAAACCTTGCAATCTGACATTTATTTTAGCTATGAAAATCTTTAACCACCATACCATATCTGTAAGAACTGCAGAAGTCCTACAGTCTTTTTGTTTGTTTATTTTGTTTTCGGTTGATTCCTGTTAGAAAAGTAAAATGTAAATCAGTGAAATGGTTTTTGTTTGTGGAATGAAAAGTAAACGTATATGGTTACACTACTTACATATTGAATTTTTAAAGGCTTTTTTTAACAAATCTAGTATTCCTTAAAAAAAAAAGGACCCTTGCAGTGCTATATGGTGTGAATTGTATTTCCTGCTTTGACAGTCCATTTAGCAACGTAGCAATGTATTTATATGGCAGTTGGCCTTAATAACCTTTATTGACTTTAGTGGGTAAGAGCCAAGACTGGCATTATTAAAATGTATCAGTTTCATTGCAGTATAAAATCACAACATATATAATTATGCTAGGTAGGCTAGGCTCCATTTAATCCCACCTATTTATGCAAGAATTTGGCAAGACAAAAAAAAATTGTAGAACTGAAATGCAGAGAAAAGCAGGAGTGATTTTGAGTTACATGTAACAGCACAACTGTTTGCCTACAGTAGAAGGTCTACTTAAAGGAATGAAACATAGATCTCAAGGTAGTGATTTCTTAATGGTATAACTGAAACACAAGAAATTGTTACACCATTTGTTTCACTTTCCGGCATCTTAAAATAGAGCTGATGATAATGAAATGCAACACACCTTTTAATTTGTAAATGTAGTGTAAAAGCAGAAGCATCTACATTCTGTGTAGTGACAACGACCAAGGTGGCATTTTATGCAAACTGGTGTCTTTCTGCACAACTTTCACCTTGATTTGTAAAACTTTTTTAAGAACTATATTTATTCATGTTATTACTACTGTTATTCTCAACAACATGCTTTCATCACTTTATACAACTGAATTGCAATCAGACAGCAAAGCTGTTTTCTTGTGAAATTATTTTTCTTTCCTTTTTGAGTACTATTTTATTATTTGCTACTATTGCTACATATGAAGTATGTCATAGTTTCAGCTGTAAGCCACTATTGTCAGGGGCTTACAGCCTGACAGTTAGAATTGAGTCTAGGCTGAAACTTGAGCTACAAAATCTCAGCCCAGAGCCATTTTTTTTTCCAAATTAAAGCAAGGGTTTAAATATGTATTTAAATCGAAAGTATTTCAGTTCCCGAATAACCATGAAAAGCTTTAAGACAAAATATGCTTTTACAAGGAATTCTCCCAGCTTTTGTAGACTTTGGCACTTTAAACAACTAACCAATTATTTAAAAAAAAAATAGATAATGGGATCACAAACAGGCTGGTTGATTGTTTAGCTTCTTTCAGAAAATGCATAGCTACTTAACTGACATTTCAATTGGTTTGACCTTGTCAGCCAAAATTCGAGGAACTCTGAGGTATTATTTTAATTTGTCTTTTAGTTTTCCCATTGTACTTAGATATTGCAGTGTCACACTTTATTGGAGGGCCATGTGGCAATATCGTATTTGCCTAATGAACTGTGAAATGTAGGTACAACATGGCAGCTCAAAGACCCAAATTTTAGCCATATTTCTTGTCTTTTGGGGCTCTCCTTATCTGTTTAGGCCAGATCCTTTAAATAAATGTATTTTGGCAGGTTATATTTTGTGAGCACTGGGAGTCAGATGTTTCTGGAAATGTACCTTTTATCTTTAACAACAACAACAACGAAACCTGATCCTGAAGACTTATTTTTCCTTTTTTTTCTTTTTCTGGCACTAATTTCCTTGACCCCAATATTTTTAGCTGTCACAAATAGGGGAAAGGATTCAGCATTGTGTGTAGTAGAATCACTGACAATCTGTAGAAAGAAAAAAAAAAGTTATATTGCACATCTTTCAGAAAAAAATTATTTACAATTCTGAGGGAATTCAGACTTAAGCTTCCAAAACAACGTGTGTGCTGAAAGCACAAAAGACTGTGTTTATGATTCTCTTTGAAGTGTTTCTGCAACAGGATAAGGAAAATTTTAGAAACTGTCTGATAGTGTTCAGGGTAAATACTTAAACCCCTTTAGAGAATTTCACACACAGATACTGTGCAGCAGAAAAAAGGATACTTATGTTTCCTAAAGCTGCTACAGCCTACAGCTTTGTACTTAAAGACAGAGGTGTTGAATAGAATTCTTCTGA